GTTACCATGATAAACACTATTAATGCATCGTCATAGCTGCGTTTGTCAATATCAGAACCTCAGACTTCTAATCTGAGGGTCCAGGCTTCATATCTCTGCTTGGGCAGTGGTCCTTTCCCTAAATTTCCTTTGGGATCAACAGTATCTATCATAAATAAAAAGTTAGTTAATTTCATAGATCTACTGATTGAGATGTTAACCCTGACTCCAGTACAGTATGTCCACCATAAATGCACATCCTTCCCCCGCACAAACAGTACGATTCAAATCGCTCTTTGGGCTTTGACTCAAAGTCATCTGTACCATAAATCCCCTCAGTGCCACCAGAGGAGAAAATGTTTTTATATTTAAGCAAAAAGCAAGGGTCTCACCTGTCCTTTCTTATTAATGCCGAAAGAGTGAGCAAGCAATGTGGATACTCCGCTTTGCAAACTACATATGCAAATTATAAACTGCTTCCTCATACTCAGAATTTCTGCCAGAATGCATTTTTCAGAAAGGTTCCCCTGTAAGGAGTTCCGTTGCAGAACTGGAGCTGATGTTCAATTGAGCTACTTTCAAAAACTAAAAATAGAGACATTTTCCCTACACATCCCCATCCCTAGAGTAACGGTCTATATTTCAGTGAAGGTTATCATCCATTTAACAATATTTATCCCCCTAAAAAACAAATATGCTGGTGTACTGAAAGATAACAGCAGGGTTGTTTATGAGACACTTCAAAATGAACTTGAAACATCTTTATGCTTGCAGTGAATCACTCTCAAAATAAACTCCCGTTGCTAAACGGACTACAAGAAATGAGAGCAGACTCAACGCACAACCAGACCATTTCGTCCTCATAGCCACGTGTAGCTATGAAACTTGCTACCAACTACAGAACATGGCTTTCCGAATGACACTTCACACAAAAAACCCCTCACCCCGCTCGCTCCACACGATAGTACAAAAGGACTGGGGTCCGATTGTTGCGGAAAGGATAAATTGTCAAATTTTCCCCGTCTCAGCAAATTTCCCAGAAAACGGGTTGAGCCGAGGCCCCCAAGATATGCGTACCGCCGCTTACAACAGCAGAAATAAATAGTGAAGGATCAGGTCCAGACCACTCCTTACAGCATGCAGAAAAGGGAGCACTGCTTATCCTTAAAGGCTCACAGCACTGCTGGCAAACTCACAGGCAGTCCCAAGTGTGACCAACGGTGCGATACGATTAGGCAAACCTGGGAAAGCCAGACTTGTGGAGGTAGAGAGAACGTGGGGAAGGAAAAAAAAAAGCAGTGTGGTGAGGTAACATAGTACATTCAGCCACACTTACACGCAAAAATTAAAGATCAAATCTTGGTTGTACTTCTGGGATTATGCTGTTCTATTGGGCAAAACACCAAAGTGTGTAATCCTGAGTCCTAATTCCACACCAAGGGATGGCAAAGAAGGCATCTTGATTAACATCCACCACCCCCAAAAAAGACAAATCACTGAAAAGGCCGAATCGCAGGATGAAGAATGCTCCCTCAACTCCCAGAATATGACTCTATAACCTTGTAGGACCTTACAGGACAGCACAGCCTGGCTTGGGTCATTTTGCTAGCTGCTATTCCAACTCACAAGCAAATTCAAGGACCTAGAGATTCACCTGGTGATGATTTCTAAGATCCCGATAGAATGTACAGCGTTGCAGGTGGTCTTAATGTTCCTGTTCATATGTCACAGTGGGGGAGGGGTGAATTTATGGGCTCTGGCTGCTTATCAAAGAATTCATTTTGCACAGAAAAAACAATAATTACTGGTGCAAGGGACATCATCTCCACTCTCCCTGGGCAACCTATGGTCGCCGTGCATAGATCCAGTTTTGCAAACGGAAGCAAAATCAGCAGAGTAATGTCCCAATGTAGGCAGTATATTGGGCTGCCAGTATAGACTACCCTCACGCACTCTTCTGAGGGTCATCAATCTCCCGCCTTTCAGCATCACGATGCGCCTTGCACATTCATGGCAAATTACAATTCATGGATGACACGCGCCTTCGGAGCCCCAGAATTACGCCCGGCATAGAGCCAGGTCTTTATTTCCTGGGCCAAAGTGTCCTTCAAATGCCTCAGCCATCCTTCTCCCCATACCTCCCCTCAAAGGGCGGATGGTAGTAAACCTAGCAGTTTTTAAAAGTCACGCTGTACTCCTTACTATTGAAGGACTTTACATGTGGTCAGTACAGATTCCCAGCTTCCCAAGACCTGAAAACATCTCCCTTCATATCTATGAACTCTAAAGTAAAATCGCAAGCTCCCACCCCCAACATGTTGAACAGATTTTTAATAAAGCATCATAAGTCAACACAATGTCAACATTTATATTGGGGGCCTTATGATTGCAGCCATTTGTACAGACTTCTAAAGAGTCATGCACTCATTTCCACTTGCCAAACGATGACAGATTACAAATCACCACTTATCCATGGTCAAGAACATCCAGAACGATGCAGCTGCATTGACGGGTTGAACTCACATAGGAGTGTTCTTCTGAAGACAAACTTGTGGCATTACTACAAACAGGAGATAGTTTGTCCAGTGAGGTATTCTCAGAAGGTCTGAGAATGACCAATTTCCATGTCTGTACTATTGACTCCTTAATAGAGACGGGGATTAACTCATTCACATGCATCAGGGATTCCTTCGCCATTGTCGCATCATCGTTCAAGGGTCTCGGAAATGTTCATGGGTCAAAATTCACCAAAACCATGTAATCAGTTCTTCTCTGTTGAAAGAAAACCAGATCACACTTGACTGAGAGAAGCAACGGTTGACAAGGCATAGCTATTGCCACAATCAGTGAAGAGAGCAACACACATGCCCATGTGCATTAGCAATGAGACATACATTAAAAGGGAGGACTGTCTACCCATACGGTTAATCTATTTCTCAGATTCTTCTACTCACAGGTTTAACACTATACTGTAGACCGTGATATAAAAAAAGTGCAAAACAAAACTATACAAAAAATATTCAGGGTCATCCATACGTACATCAGCAGATGCAGAAGAGATGCAGAAAATACAGAGATCAGGACACAATGAACAGAATAGACTATTTTCTCAGATCTGCAGGGACAGCATTATCCATTATACGCACTCTACTTTTAAATGTAGTCCACAGCATAAATGATAGTCTTCTGATAAATACAGCTTAGCAGCAGGTAGTATGGTGGTTAAGAATGTTAACCTGAAAGTTGTCAGATCCTAAGTATTAAAGGGCTTATGGTGTTTTACAGTCAGGGAAGGTATTTTACCAATATTACGCTACAAACAAAAGTTGCTAGGGCGGCAGTACTATTGCATCACATTCCCAAGGTTAGGGGTTCAAATCCTCTCTCTGCTATTTGTATGGTGTTTCCTCTGGGTCCTCTGGTCCCCCTCAGTCCAAAGACACACATTTAGGATAACTGGCATCTCTAAATTGCCTCTTGCACGTCTGGGTGCCCCGCGATGGACCTGCATCTCACCTAGGAGACCCTGCCTTGCGTTTTCTTGCATCCCTCTCCCTCTCAGTGCTCTACTGAGACACCTGCTGTTGACTGACTAAATTACACCCCAGTATTGGCACGTGTTAAAATATAGTATAATTGGACAGACTGACCGTTCTTCATTTTTAACTCCCAATAAACACCTCATCAGTACTTCATCTCTGATCTGTGCCACACACACACACAGCTGTTTGGCTGTAGTATTGGGTTGAACTTGCTTCTTCAATACAGCTAGCTTGCCGACTGCTGGCAGTGCGATCGCTGTATTTCTGTTTGTTTGAGACAGCTACAGATTCTTTCCACGGTTCCTTTCCACTCCTTGCTGAAGACCAGGCCAAACACTCAATTAAACTGAGACACTCACTTCCTCCGTGGTTCCCCACTAACCAGGAGCTGAACTGGGAGCTAGAACTCCCCTAACACCATATTATTCGCGCCAGTGTAATTCCTGCCCTTTGTATCATTAGTTACTAAAGTCTATAGTCCAGGGAGTTATGCTTCTAGGAGTCCTAACGCGCGCTCTCTCTCTCTCTCACACACACACACACACACACACACGGAGAATGATGGTTCTTCCTCGGAGGTCTTATGAAGTTGTAGTGGATGCAATCTCTTTTTAATCACGTTGGCTACTGCAAATTCAATAACGCTCCTCAAGAATTCCATTGTGAAGCCTCGTAAACCGTGACTCCCGGTGTACAAGCTGTTTTTTGTAAATTCATTTGTGTTTTAAAAATATATACATGTTAGCTGGAAAAAAAACAGCCAACATCTCTCTGTATTCATCACTCTAAAACCAGACTCTACCGAAATTAAACCCAAAAACTAAATTTCAAAAGATGGAGTACGTTAAACTGCAAATCCATATGTTATCAGCACTTAACACGTGTATTAATTTCATATTGCAATATTCTTATCAACCACATATAAAACTTTCCATACTTTCCGGTATGATTTAATATGTTGTTCATGAATAAAAACTTAAGCATCCATCAAACTATATGTTCCCGGTTAAATGACAATGACAGGTCCTCGCTAATGTACCGCAGCGTCCCCTGGCTTCCTTCCAGGTGCTACTCTAGACATGATTAATCAAATGGCCGGGCAAAAAATACCCAGATAGGCCCAATGGATCCAAAGAGAATGATTTCATTTCAGGTTAGTCAGATTTGTACTTCCAATTTAGTTATTCAACCCTTTCTTAATCTTAATCTCCATAACATTTTTGTTTTTAAAAAATGCTTTCTGTCAAATGAAACTCGCACATTTTGTTTCATTATATAGTCCAACGGGTTACAATAACGTGCAAATTGCAATTCCCAGCAAGTTACTGCAAGTAATAACACTTCTAATTATACGTCAGTCAGGGGAAAGAACCACAAATATATGAATCTGATAAGAAGCCAATCTGGCGACGACTGAGTGGCAGAGGAATCATTATCGTAAACTTATTCTATAATAAACTTTGACCAGTAGCATCTGACCTTCATCCTGGACTTGACTGGATTTCATTTTGGTTCATCTCTTTGCGTGAAGCCCTAACATCGCCCTCCTAATCTGCAATTCATTTTTCGTTTTCATCCAGAAGATTCATTCCCTGTAACGATGTCACTCACTACAGCGTCTATTCCAAACGAAATCCAGTAAGCTACAGGTGCACTCCATTAGGCTGCATTAAGGAAGTTGGTGTAGGTTACTGATAATCATAAGAGTTAAACAAACAAGCGGGTGTTATATATAAATGAGATTAAGCTGACAATTTTTAACTGACAACCATAAAATAATTTATCAATTAAGAGCTGTGTACAAGCAATTAAGTCTCTGAGGGTATAATCCACAGTATTCCTCGCATGGTAGATATCGCGGTTTTACATGACACTGTTTGCCTCGCTGCCCCCTGCAGAGAATGAATCAATTGCGAGTGACACCAGTTCATACATAATTTAATCCCGTTTCGGGAATATAAACGCCCGCCGCGTGTTGCGCTTCTCAGCAGAGGATTACCACCCAGATGCCAAAATCTTAAAGGCGGAGCGTTTTATACGACTTTGTACAAGACGCACGATTTATATATATATATATCAAACGCATACTAAAAGTAATGCTGACGATTGTCGCACAGCTCGTGTAAGACTTAAAACAGTGACCGCAGAGTATCGCTGTCATGGTTTATCCCATCAGCGGTGCCTGAACAACTGCTGCTCTTAAGTAAAAAAGAATCATCTCTAGATATTGACCCAAGTTATATAAGCAACATTTTGGTCTACGATGTATTACAATAAATCGATCGCTACTGGGGACGATGGAATAATAGACATGACATCTTAAATAAATGTCACTTTCATTCACTGACTTGTAATTTCTGCGGACATAGGCTACTACACATTTCATTTTCATATTTACCTGTATGAGCTAAGCTCTTCAGGTAAGATGCAGCCGCGCGGTATATCTTGTATAATCTGGTTATTAAGATGCGAGTGTGCATAAGGCTGCTCAAACATGCATGTGCCGGATATTAACAGGAGTGCAGAATACAATCTCCATTCCTGCTAAACATGCGTGCTACAGCCATGTACAGGTACAATACTGTAATTCTTTTAAAGAATAATATTGATGCATTTCCCTTTTTTGTTAAAACAGGTGTTTGCACATCCAAAAAAAAAGCTCATATTTTCATTCTATCAACTAATATATCGGAAAAATCATATTTGGCAGATATTGCCTCAGAAAGCTTCAACCAAAAAAAAAAACCCGAAAATGCATGGAAGTGACTCGAAATTCTGCATATGCCACCTACCTGACAGTAGTTGTGCAAAGCGGCGTCGTCCTAGACACTTAAATGAAGCAGGCAAACATTTCAAAGGAGCTGCCGCATTGAAAGCGCTTATCCTCGGGGCAGAAGGCGAGCGCGGAGCGGAGAGGCGGCCGTCACTCCTCGCTGCCCGCGCCCGACTCTCCTCTCTTCCAGATCCGACTGACTGCGAGCCGCCCAAACTGAAGTGGCAAAGCCGGGAACGCAGAGCCGCCGCCGCCGCCGCTCGCCCGCTGCAGCTGTGGGCCTTCGCAAAGTGTGGCGCTGTTACCCCCCGAATGAAGCCCTGCTTTCTACGCACAATAGTCAGCCGGAGCTGCTGTCCCCTCGCAGTCGCCCGGCGTCATTTAATGCACATGTAGCGGCATAGACAATGATTTTAAAATCATGACGTGCTGTTACTGAAGCAACAGAGGTGGGCTTGCTTTACATTCATTCCGAGGCACCTCAGAGCTAATCGTAAGTATATACAATTCAGTGATATTAAGGCAAAAACAGCAGAGATTCGTCAAATAGCTAGCCTACTTTATCTTTTAGACACATTTAAGTTTAACTTAAAAACTATGAGATGTAGTAGTTCGTAAGTATTTTACATAGTTACAATTTAAATTGTTCATAAAATATCGTTTTAGTTATGTATATGCACACACACAGTTTAAAGGTGTGTCACGTTGTCCATGTGTAATGACCCAGCTGATCGATTGGTAGATAAACAAAGGAAAGTAGTAAATGAATAACAAAGGAGGTAAGTTTTCATTAGAAATTAAAAATGGTGTAACTGAAGGCACATGTAACGATTGTGTTGGTGTAGGTCCCAAAATTAGTGGGCAATAAAATAAAATCAAGTTGCTAATTCAGTTTCATTGATGCAGATCTACTGCCCTTTTCAACACAGACATATTTGTACAAAGGCATCAGTTTGCAGGCTATTAAAATGTCTTGCCCATCACACTAAATGTTGTCCTGTACTTTATATGTTTGTTCTGTTGTTCTGAGACATACTGGATCTGTACCACACTGAGGGGTATCACTAAGATCCATCCATCCATCCATCCATCGCCAAACTGCATCTCCACCACAGACAGCAGTGGTGCTGCCCCCTGTCACAGGCTGCACAGGCACAAAGCAAAAGCAGAGCATATCCTGAGTGGGATGCCAGTCCATCACAGGACACACACACACACTGGGGTGTCAGAAATGTGGGGGGCAGGGAGGGGGACCCACCCGACCCACCCCCCCTTCCTCGTGAAACTGCACCCTGAGCAGTGTTAGTCATACTTTAAATTAAATCTTAATCTCCTGAGACCCCACCCATTCATTTATGTCCATTGTAGTGGACATTTTATTTTTGCGTCTATCTTTTCACTGATGTAAGGGAACGTATTTATGCCTGTTGTGCACTAAAGAGGACATGCTGTGAAATTAACAATAAAAATAAATTTGAAAAAAATAAGATGTAAGTAAGATGTCTTATTTCCTCCAAAGACAAATAACCTAAAATTGAAGGACACTTCTTTCCTTGGGTCTCAGGAGGTTAATTATTATAAAATCTTTCTCATATAGCATCTTTTCACAATGGGACTATTGCATGTGTGCCCATTGGGATGTTGTGATATACACTGCACCCCCCCCCCCCCCTGCAAATTCAGTCATCCCCAGTGTGAAGCTCCTTCTGACACCACTGGACACACACATGCACACACACACACACTGTAGGGATGGGATTCAGACTATTAACCCTGGAGATGTGAAGCTACAATACTACCCACAGCACCAGCCTCTTGTCAAGAATGAAGTATTACAAATACCAGCTGGCAGAAGAGAAAACACACTCCAAATGGTTCTGACCAGTCCAATCAGCTCCGGTCCCTAAAGCTCTTCCTGCAGTTCCTCTCATGCTCAGAAGAGCGGCTCGTGCTCCTCTCCTGCTAATTTCCTGAAATGATGACCAGTGATCGTGCTTGTTTGGAACTTAATTACATACCTGCCGTTCATAGGTCCAGGGGAATTCAACGGAACAATTGTAATGTGAGCGTCATGGCCGTAATTGACCACAGCAAAGGTCTTAAAGCAAAAGTGAGATCCAGTTAATTGGCTTTTAGAGCGTGCGGCAATTGAGCTTTGATTTGCTCCCACCGTCTACTGACCAATGGGAATTGTGACAAGTTGCAATCGTATGTTTAATTGATAAAATGCATTTACTGGTGTATGACCGGGGGGGTAGGCTGGGGAGGGGGCTGAGAAGCAATTACTGGAGGAAAGGTTTTTTTCCCCTGGATTAGCCACGGGAGCAATGCCTGGGGAGTATGGTAAACTCCGCTTGTTTACTGTTGCTATCTTTGAGCAGACAATTGAGTCAACACCTCTGGTATAGATAAACCAACCCCGCCAGGGGAGCTAACCATGGACTGGGGGTCGATTTACATTCAGAGCCCCCAGCCCAGGCTTTCCAGTGGGGGCGGTTTGTCTCTGAGTATGGGGCAGCGTGATACTCCCCATCAGAATGCCTTTATTGGCTTCTGCCGGGTACAGCTTCCTGACAGAGGGACGTTCTGGGTGTCAAGCAGCACCCTAACTTAGATTATTAAATGTCACAGCAGATAATAAAAATCCTGTAAGTGGAGCCTGATTTTTGCAGCTGAGTGAATGTTATTTCTTAATTAGTGGCAGAATAAAAGGAAAATAAATATATAATTAATCAGCTGGCCTTGGGTGAACAAGCTCCTTAAATTTACACAGGGAAGAGGAATGCTGGGAGATGCCAGACTGAGGCTGGGCTGACGTCTCGCACAGGCAGACACAAACAATCTGATTGGACGACATATCGTCTTTCTGGTGATTAGCATAACGCGTGTGCTTTAACGACCCCCCCTGTATCCAGGGAAACTCGCATTCTGGCATGTTCTGCGTTTTCTGCGCACTCAGCAGCAGCTCATCCCACAGTATTTGCACCCACAGCACACAGACCTGTGTACTTGTTGCTGCCGTGTCGCCTCCCCCCCCCCCCCCCCCCCCCCGCGATCCAGCTGCTGCTTAACATTAATTTCATTACAGACTTTAGTTCAACAACCCATTTCTGCTTGTCCATTATCTGTGCTGGCCCAATGATACATGAACTGATGAATAAAATCTATTTATATTTCACATTTCTTAATTAAAATCGACCCCCATGTATTCCTTCCTATAGTGATCTACTGATCTCGCAGGTTCTTGCCTGAGTGTAAACGTCACTTCTATGCACAGAATAGGGCAGTATTTCTGGGGCTCACTGTGAAAACTCCCTGCACACACCGCCTGCTTCTCATTGGTTGTGTGACCGGCAGCTCCTCCCACACACTTTGTTGTCTTTTGCAAATCCTGGACCAGGGTTCTCCTGCGGTGGATCTCTCTTCTCTGGATCTCCAGGAGACCGCATCCATCATTCGGACCAGCTGATCGTCTCAGTATCCAATCAGCACAGGACACTCATAGCACCGTACTCAAACAACTTGTATCAATGAACATTTCTCTACACTTTGAACAGCAGCTCCTCCTCTGAAAAAAGAGGAGCAAAGAGTGCGCTCATTCTCAAACCCCTTGTTTAAGGATCAAGAGACCACTCCCCTGGGCAAATGGCCTTTCAATTATGAGCGGAGCGATTCCGGTTTGAGTGCTGAAGAGCCATTTAGTGAGATTGATAAAAGACAGTCAGCGTCTCCAAGTGTCTCCAGGTGGAATAGAAATGTCTTGGGCGGAAGCTGTCCAGGAGCCGACGTGAGGCACCTAAAGCATGGTAATGTGCCTTATTCTGGGATTACAGGCTCTGCAGGGATTGATGCTACAGTTTTATCCGTTGCTCTGTTCATTCAGCTTCTGAGGTGTGATTGAGTAACGGT